CGACCACATAGTGGTGGCGATCGAAGAGGGGAAAGACTTGTCGAAATTGACAAAGGAAGAGCTTCAAGGGACGCTCGAATCTCATGAACAAAGAATGAACGAAAGAGCTGCAGGAAAATCGAAGAGTAATGTAGCCTTGCAGGCACATTCAGCAAAAGAAACCAAAGGCAAAGGAAAGTATTTCGACAGAAGTAGAGGTGGCTACAACAAATCGAATGGTAGAGGAAACCAAATCGAATGAGACGTGTCGAATCAAAGAAGACCACACCACGGCAACCAAAGAGGTGGTGCTGCAAACAGAGGAAGAGGTGGTGGTCGAAAACCTGATAAGAGTCACATTCAATGTTACAATTGTCAGAAGTATGGTCACTATTCGAGTGATTGTCCAGAAAAACGTAAGAATCAAGAAAGTGATGCAAAGCTGGCAAAACATGAAGAAGAAGAAGAGATGATGCTGATGGTCACAACAAGAGATGAAGACAGATTCAAGGACCAATGGTACTTGGATTCAGGATGTTCATCACATATGTCTGGAAGGAAAGACTGGTTCGTCAATATAAAACCCTCAACGAAGAATATGGTAAAATTTGCAAATGACAACACACTAGCAGCTGAAGGTATTGGTGATGTTATGATCATGAGGAAAGATGGCAAGAAGTCAGTAATTTCGAATGTATTGTACATACCAGGCATGAAGAGCAATTTGCTCAGTATAGGGCAGTTGGTCGAAAAGAATTATAAAGTGTCAATCGAAGATAAGTTGATGAGAGTCGTTGATGCAAATGGGAGATTAATCTTGAAGGCTCCAATGTCTCAGAATCGAACCTTCAAGATTGAACTAAACGTGATGGAACACAAGTGCCTTTCCACTGCAGCTAGCAGAGATGAATGGATATGGCATTATAGACTTGGTCATCTCAACTTCAGAGACATCAGAGATTTAAAGAGAAGAAATATGGTTTCAGGATTGCCTGAAATTGATATTCCAAACGAAGTATGTGAAGAATGTGTGCAGGCGAAGCAACACAAGAATAGCTTCAGCAAGGATGCAGGAAGCAGATCGAAGGCTAATCTCGAAGTCATATACTCTGATGTATGTGGACCAATTCAGGTGGATTCGATGGGAGGTAACAAATACTTTGTTACATTCACAGATGATTTCAGTCGAAAGCTATGGAGTTACCTGATCAAGAAGAAAAGTGAAGTGTTCGAAGTATTTATCAAGTTCAAGTCCATGGTCGAAAGACAAAGTGGTCGAAAGCTCAAAGTTTTGAGAACTGATGGTGGAGGAGAATATGTGTCGAAAGACTTCGACAGATTATGTGAAAAAGAAGGGATTGTGCATGAGGTGGTGCCACCCTATACTCCACAGCACAATGGAATTGCAGAAAGGAAAAATCGAACCATCATGAACATGGTGAGAAGTATGTTGAAAGGCAAGAATTTACCCAAAGAGTTCTGGGGTGAAGCTGTTTCGACTGCAACATACATTTTGAACAGAAGTCCTACAAAGAAGCTAGAAGGAATTACTCCAGAAGAATGTTGGTCTGGTGTGAAGCCTAGCTTGAGTCATCTGAAAGTATTTGGATCTATTGCACATAGACATATACCAGATCAGTTGAGAAAGAAACTTGATGACAAGTCAAGTCAAATGATCCTAGTTGGATATCATTCGACAGGAGGCTACAAGTTGTTCGATCCAGAGAACAAGAAGATTGTGATCAGCAGGGACGTGATCATAGATGAGTTCAAAGAATGGGATTGGACTGCAAATGTCAAGAAAGATTCAGTGGGAATCTTATTCGAAGAGCCAGAAACTCAAGTCGAAAGAGAAGTTCGACAAGAGGAGCCAGCAGATATACCCAGTACAAGCAGACCTCAAAGAACAAGACGCATTCCTGCAAGATTGCAAGATTGTGTGATTACATCAGATGATGTAATAGATGATGAAGGTGAGCTGGTACATTATGCTTTCTATGCAGATGTCGAACCTGTTAATGCAGCTGAAGCATTAAAAGATTCGAAGTGGGTGAAAGCAATGAACGAAGAAGTAAAGTCTATCGAAGACAACAACACTTGGTCACTTGTCGAATTGCCTCAAGGCAAGAAGGCAATTGATGTCAAGTGGGTATACAAAGTGAAGACGAATTCGAAAGGTGAAGTAACTCGACACAAAGCAAGACTTGTGGCGAAAGGATTTCTACAGAAAGAAGGAATAGACTTCGACGAAGTTTTTGCACCTGTTGCTAGGATCGAAACAATCAGGCTGGTTGTTGGTCTAGCAGAAATCAAAAGTTGGCACATATGCCAGATGGACGTGAAGTGTGCATTCCTAAATGGACCCTTAGATGAAGAAGTTTATGTTAAACAACCAGTTGGGTTTGTGAAACATGACGAAGAAAGAAAGGTGTACAGGCTACATAAAGCCCTGTATGGTTTGAAACAAGCTCCAAGGGCTTGGAATAAGAAAATTGATAGTTTTCTAAGGGAGAAGGAATTTGTGAAGTGCATAACTGAACATGGAGTATATGTAAGAAGAAGCAAGAGTAAATTGCTTATACTATGTCTCTATGTAGATGATTTGTTGATAACAGGTAGCTGCAAGAGTGAGATCGAAGACTTCAAAGTTGATCTCAGCAAGGAATTCGAAATGTCTGATTTGGGTGAGATTTCATATTTCCTTGGTATCGAATTCTACAAGAGCAGTAGAGGTTTGATGATGCATCAAAGAAGATATGCAGGAGAAATTCTCAAGAGGTTTGAGATGGAAGAATGCAATGCAACTTCGACACCTACAGAACCAAGACTGCAACTGTCGAAAGATGCAGATGAAGATGATGTTGATCCAACTCAATACAGAAGACTTATTGGATCATTGAGATACCTTTGTCATACAAGGCCTGACTTAGCATACAGTGTAGGTATGGTAAGTAGATTCATACAGAAGCCAAAGGTATCACATCTAGCAGCAGTGAAGAGGATACTAAGGTATCTCAAAGGAACTTTCGATTATGGCATTTTGTTTCCTGCAGTTGATAAAAGAAAAGAATGCAAGCTAGTGGGATACACCGATTCGAGTTGGTGTAGTGATGCTGAAGATCGAAAGTCAACAGCAGGATATGTGTTTATGTTAGGTGGTGCAACAATTGCTTGGAGTTCGAGAAAAGAATCAGTAGTAGCATTATCATCATGCGAAGCAGAATACATAACTGCTTCTCTTTGTGCATGCCAAGCAACCTGGATGGTGAACTTGGTCGAAGAGATAACAGGGAAAAATCATGGAGCAATTACCATGAAGATAGACAGCATGTCAGCTATCAACTTGGCAAAGAACCCAATAGCACATGGTCGAAGTAAGCACATCGAAATGAGGTTCCATTATCTTCGAGAGCGGGTAGCAGATGGGAAGATGAATTTGGAACACTGCAGAACTGAGAATCAGATTGCAGACATCATGACGAAGGGAGTGCAGGTCGAAGTATTCAGAAAGCTAAGGACCATGATGAACATAGACAGTTTAAACACAATGAATTATGTGGTGTGTTAAATTGTAATTCATATGTGTCAAAAGAAGATTTGATTTGTTTAGATTTAAATAGATTTGAATTTAAATCTAGAATAGATTTGATTAGATTTGATTAAAGAAAAAGATATTTTGGGCTTGGGTTTAGCTTAGGTAGCAAGCTAACCTAAATCTATAAATAGAGGGAGTAACCCCTATTTTGTAATCAACTCATTCACAGTATTTTGCAGTTGCAAAGTGAATTAATAAAGTTTCTACAGTTTGTGGGCAGAGAGAAACTCTGCAGAAATAATTCTATTGTCTTTTCTTAGTTTGTTTCATAACTAATCATCAGTGGTGGTCGAAATTCATCATAGAGTATTGGTGGATTTCCAACAATTATTCCCACACTATTTCTGTAAAAACACGAATTTGGCTGCAACATGAGAAAACCTCGTATTGAAATTTTCAATTTAGTTATTGTAAATTTTTAAAAATAATTAATAATAAATCGAAAATGCTTCTTGGTAAGAAAAAATGAAAATAAAAAGACAAGAATAAATCTCAATCATTTTTTATCACAACCGCTCTATAATTCCTATTAAAAAGAAATTTAATTTATAATAAATTAAAAATTATCCACTAAATTAATGATCCATATACATTCTTATATTTTTTACTCAAATTCTTTTGTACTAAATGACATTACTCATAATAAAAATATTTTTATCATTAAAAAATATGAGAAATATATAACTGATAACTCACAAGTTAAATTCTCAAAAAAATCAATTGTATAGTCTTATGTCATTCATTGTGTTTATCAAAATTGAAATTATAAAGTCTTCAATACTTTATTTTCAAATTATATTCTTTTGCCCTATAAAATCTCTTTAAGTTATTTTCCACAACCTAATGAAATAACCTATTAACTTTTAGAACAAAAAATATTCATGTTTTATGTCTAATAGCATGTTCGATATTATTATACTTGAGATTTTACTCCCTCAAGATATTGAATTCACTCTAAAAATATATAGATATTTATTTATACTATTTTAGTTAATAAAATTTATTACTTTAATTTATTTTTCGAAAAGTGACTTTGATATGAATGGCTCTACTGGATAAATAAAAAGAAATTGTATTTTCATAATTTTGAAATTATTCAAACTATAGCAATTAAATCCAAAACGTAAAAAACGCGTTAAAGCAATACTCCGACGTCCCAACCCTGTAAGCACGAAGCGGCGTCGTTTGCTTGTGCAGCATATCCGTGTCCTCGGATCCGCGTCATTAACCCTAGTCAATTCCTAACCCAACCATTGTTAATCCACTTATCTCAAAACACGCCACGTGTCTCCATCCAACGGTCACCACCGAAGATATTCAGAAGCACGCGCTGTTATAAATACCCATGCTTCTCGTCCCCATTCTCCCAAACCCTAACCATTTTACCCATTACGATCTGATTCAACCACTTCTCAAACCCTAAGCCATGTCAAACCCCAAAGTTTTCTTCGATATGACCGTCGGCGGCCAAAACGCTGGACGCATCATCTTTGAGCTTTTTGCCGATGTCACTCCCAGAACCGCTGAGAATTTCCGTGCTCTCTGCACCGGCGAGAAAGGAGTCGGTCGTAGCGGCAAGCCACTCCACTTCAAGGGATCCTCCTTCCACCGTGTGATCCCTAACTTCATGTGCCAGGGAGGTGACTTCACCGCCGGAAACGGCACCGGAGGAGAATCGATCTACGGTTCCAAGTTCGCTGACGAGAACTTCATCAAGAAGCACACCGGTCCAGGAATCTTATCCATGGCGAACGCTGGACCCGGAACCAACGGATCTCAGTTCTTCATCTGCACTGCCAAGACTGACTGGCTCGACGGGAAACACGTCGTGTTCGGTCAGGTTGTCGATGGATTGAACGTTGTGAGGGATATTGAGAAGGTTGGATCTGGCTCTGGCAAGACCTCTAAGCCTGTTGTGATCGCCAATTGTGGACAACTGTAGATCATACTGTTTTGGCGTTTTTTAAACTGGTGGCTCTGATTTTTAATTTGATCTCAAATTCTAGTTGTGTTTTTCTGATTCGCGTCGTTTTACTTTTCTCGTGTTAGGGTTTGTGGTTGTGGTGCTCTATGGATCCTATTGAACCCTCCCTTTTTAATTTTCTGTTACTGTTACTATCCGTATGAAATTAGTAGTTGAGTGAGTTGAGTCTTGTTATGCTGAACATTAAAATGATGAGCTACCTTCAATAAATTAGATTTTATTCCTATATCTTTGTTCTGTTCTATGTTTTTCTATCAACGCATTTTTGTTTTATATTGAAATCTGTATCAACGTATTTTTGTTTTTTATTGAAATCTGACCTTTTGTTGGGGTTAAATTTCACTGTGGAATCAATTTAAGAAGTTTAAGCATAATTTAACTTCAAATAAGCTAAATAATATTTTTAATTCTTTCCTTCAAATTGCTTAGTAGTTTTTGTATGAACACTCACTCTATTAAATTTGAAAATCGTCCTACGTTGTACTTTAGTTTTTATGGTTAAATTTGTAGTTAGGATTACTGTGCTTCTGTTTTTAACACGTGATTCAAATTATTATTGGTATTGGAGGATACGGTTTTGAGTGCAAGGACAATTCTAAATATTAAGTATTTAAATGTATCTATCCACTAATAATCCAACTACCGTATTACGCCGCAACCACCAGTTTTCCACTTTTATAGATTTATGATTTTATATTTTTTGTTGATCGAGTGTTGTGTTAATACTATATTCTCTTTTTAAAATACTTTTATGGACTGAATCAAACTTTTGAAAAACCTATTTAAAATATTAAGTCACAGAATCAAACTTTTTGCAATGCTCGACTCAATTAATGGGCTGTATAAATTTTGATTTTTGAAGTAATACCAACGTTTTGTAACCGGTTTGCCTTGCCTATTTTTGGATCTAGGTGAAACTAGAGTGAAACAAAATCATACCCTTGGACTTGTAAATATGGTTTCGAGGGTGTTATTGTGTTATTAGTTTAATAAGGAAAAAAACAAAATTGAGAATGTATGAATGACGAGAACACTTTATAGACGTAATGGTTGTTGAGTTCAAGGAGGTAAGGTTGAAGATGCCAAAACCTTTCAACATCAAGAGATTTATCACACCACTAGTGTGTTAAAGGGTTGGTTGAACAAATCAAATTATGGTTGGCACGGGTTCAAATTATGGTTGGGGTATAATATTAATTTAACTTTAAACTTTGTTAGTCTAATTGATTCATATAATATTATATGAAACACAATTCAATATTAAATGTATATATTAGACTGAACAATTTATACTATATATAAAATAATCTATTTTGAATTGATCCAGGCACTTCAAGTCAGAAGCAATTAGATATAGACTACATAAAGAACACACCTTAAAACACATCCCATACTGACATTTAAAGCATTTTCTATAATATAAAGTTTGAGAATTTTTTGAGTTAAACTTTTGAAAATTCAAAAATATTATTTAAATATGTATATTTGAATGTATTTTTTTAGTATGTTTTAGTTATGTATATTCGAAGTTATTTTTTCTCCACATTTTAATACTAAAACGTTGGATTTAAAATTTTAGATTGCTGCATGGTCACCCCTACTACTATTTCATTCATTTTCTTTTCTCCCACAACCAAAACACTCAACAAAACTTTAACTATTCTAATCAATTTTTCGTCTCCAAATTGTTTCAAGTGTTTGAGTATAACAAAGAGAACATAGAAAGCTCCAATTTGAGATGAATATTCCTCATTTCATCTCACATTCCTCGCATTGATGTTGATTTGTGGATGAAAAAAACAGCGTCACTTCGGATATGCATATCCGAATTCCACCTACCATAATTCGGATGTGCATATCTGAAAACATTTCTGTTACAGAAACAAGATATTGTTTTAACATGATTTATGTTTTTTTGTCACTGTTAGGTATGGTGCACCCCCGACAATATTCCCAAAGCTGTCGTAAAGGTTCTGGACAAGGTCAATGAAGATGCTAAGCCGAATGAGGTGAATGACATTGATAAAACGATTGATGTCGTGATAGATGTTGAACAATAATTTACAAATGATAAAAGTTTCACCTCTCGTCAATATATGCTTGAATGGGTTCGAATAGAAGCTAGCAAAGTTGAGTTTGACGTTGTGATTCGAAGGTCCGACAATGACACTAGTAGAAGGCAAACATTTGTTGTGATGGCATGCGAGAGAAGTGGAAAATATGTTCCAAAAATTTGGAAGTCAAAACATGATGGCACGGGATCGAGGAAATGTGAATATCTGTTTAAATTGCACGGTTCTTGTAGGGTGGATGATTCATGGAGGTTTAGTATCATTTCTGGTAATGCATAATCATGCGTTGAATACTAAGTTACAATGACATCTAATTGTATGTCGGCTTAAGCCTAAAGAGAAAGAACCTATTTCAGAATTGTCGTTAATCAAAGTTGCACCGAGAAACATACTTGCTGGTTGAAACGGAAAAGACCAGAAAGTGTTTCAAATATCAAGCCGATTTACAATGAACGTTATAAATAACACATTGCACAAAGAGGTCCGAGGTCCGAAATGCAACATCTTTTGAAACTTTTGGACGATAACCACTATGTTTTCAGGTACAGAGTTTGTGAGGACAACGTCAGTATTCGTGACATGTTTTAAACTTATCTAGAAAATATCAATTTGTTTAACACATTTCCAACTGTCCTTATGATTGATTCGACGTACAAGACCAACAAGTATAGGATTCCGCTTCTAGATATTATTGGTGTCACCTCTACGGACAAGACATTTTCGGTTGGATTTAGTTTTTTGGAATGTGAGAAAGAAAACAACGTCACATGGGCATTGAGTATATGCAATACTCTGTTAAAGGATCCATAAAATATACTCAATGTCATTGTTATCGACTGAGATAACGCCCTTATAAATATAGTTGATAGTGTGTTTCCTACATCAACCATATTACTTTGTCGGTATCATATAAAAAAATGTGACATCTCGGCTCAAACGTGCAGTTGGCACCAAAGAAAAAAAGGGTGAAGACAAAAACATGATCAAATCCCATGTTGTGGTGGATAAGATAATTACGAAGAAGTGAAAAACACAAGAGGGGGGGGGGGGGGGTTGAATTGTAAACCTTGAATTTAAATGCAGACAACACGATATTTTTATCCTGGTTCGTTTGATCTCAAACTACTCCAGTCCACCCGTCAAGGTGATTTCGCCTCTCTCCAACGAGGTCTTAATCCACTATATTCAACTGAATATTACAACTGCTTTAACGACTGCTAAAGCCTTCTTGAGTCTAAACCACAGACCGGTTTCTCAAGGAAATTCTTTCTTGCAGATAAATGAAAACTATGTGTGTTGAATGTTTTCTACAAAAACTCTATATCACACCTGTGATAATACACAAAATAAAGCTTATGTGAAATAGGATGCTATAACTATGGAGTAAGCAATTTTAGAGATATAGCAACTTGTATGAGTGAGGATGAAGATGTTTGGCTTTTGGCGTGTAAAGAGTTGTAGAGCATTAGCCAATTCATTTCTCACTGACTTGTTTATATAGCATTTGGAAGAGATACGTTATAGTCAATTATGCCATTTCAATGTCCATTATGTTCTTTCCATATTGAGAAGATCTTGTCTTGTAATACAGCCGTTGGTAATAAAGTGTCTTGAATGCACAGTACCGTTGTCACTTAAGCGAGTTACTGGCTTTGGCTTATTCTGATGCTTCTAGCTGCTGATGATATTGTTTTGGTCTTGATCAGAGTTTAAAGTATGTTACGCGCAAATCTGTTCATCAAGCTTCAGCGTAAGCACATGCTTTGATCTTCTGATGCTGGCATATGATATTTCATCTTCTGATGCTGATATTGATGTTTCATCTTCTGATGCTGATATTGATGTTCTTATGCTGGTATCCATTAGAGTTTCTGTTAATGTACAATATAATTTTTAGGTAGCATATATGTCTCATACAAATTATACAATTTATTTAATCTAGTATTTTGTTATCATCAAAACTTATAACTTGGGGTAGTAGATTCAAACTTTGTTCTAACAATCTCCCCCTTTTTGATGATGACAAAAACCGGATATTTTCAATTGAAATTTAAGGAAAAAATATCAGAGATAACCAAATAATAGATTGTATTAGAGATAGACAGGTAAGTATCAAAGATAAGGAGGAATAAAAAGGTATCAGAGCTTAAGAAGATAAAGGAAAAACTATCAGAGTTATGATCAGAAAAACTCCCCCTGAGTTTATTACTTCCCTTTTAATTCCATGAGTCCTTTAGCATCAGATCTTTCTTGAACTTTCTTTGAGCATCAGATCTTTCTAGAGCAGAGTTGCAGTGTATCAGAGATAATTAAATTCTTGTACCTGTAAGCTTATGCAAAACAAAGAAACATTCAAGTATATCAGAGTGTTAGAATGTTTGAGACTTTTGTCTCAGTAATCCGTTATTGAAAAATATCATTCTTTTTCTCCCCCTTTTTGTCAGCAATCAAAAAGTGCAAGTAATTGAAGTTAAAACGATCAGTGCAGAAAAACTATTGTATTTAGTTCAAGGCTTAAGAAGATAGTACAAAAAACATGGAAAGAAAACAATGAAAACACTAAGAAGCAAAATCTAAGGTTGGGGTGGAAGGCGTGTGAACAGAGCTTCTAGCATGTTCTTAATTTGATCAGCGGTTTCCTTCTACTGATGCACCATGCTGGCTACTGAATCAATCTTACTATCTTGCACATCCATCCTTTCCTTCATTCGTTGATCATTCTCATCCATTCTTTTCTGCAGACGAATATCATTTTGCTTCAGCTCTTCAAGAGTCTGCCTGTCCAAAGCAGCTTGAGAGACGTCAGAATCAGGATGCTTCTGAGAGCTTTCTGCAACATCTTCTTCTTGACTGAAATCTTCAGCTGGAATCGTCTGATCTTCTGCT